CGGTGCCCTTGAGTTTTTTATTTGGTTTGTTGAGGAGTGCGGTGGCGCTGGGGTGCACAGACGGGTGTAGGGTGGAGCTGGAGCGGAGGATCGGGGCTCAGCTGGAGATGGCGACCCTCGATGACTTACTCATACCTTCCTTTCATCACGCGGGAGACACTTTGTTCGATGTGGAGACGGTTCACAGGATAATTGTTAATTTTGCACAGATGGAGGTGAGTGAGGAGGAGGAGGAGGAGGAGGATATGGATATGGATATGGAGGAAGGTGGGTCGGGTTTCGGGTCGGACGGCCCGTCCCAGACCTCTCTATGCACCGTTTCGAAGCTGATTGATAGTTACTTGGCGGAAATTGCGCCTGATGGGAACCTCAAGCTCACCATGTTTGTGGCTATTGCTGAAGCATTGCCGGCCCACGCGCGTACGGTTCACGACGGGCTTTATCGTGCAATTGATATTTACCTCAAGGCAGGCAATTTCCTTTTTTTTTTTTTACTGTCACTCTGTTCATCACAGTATAAATACTAGAGCAATTGATGAAATGTGTGTTAATTTACATCGACGACAGGCTCACCAAGGGTTACTGGAGGCGGAGAAACGGAAGCTGTGCAAGCTGATCGACTTCCAGAAGCTGTCACAGGAGGCCGGGGCCCATGCAGCCCAGAACGAGCGGCTACCCGTGCAGTCCATCGTCCAAGTCCTCTACTACGAGCAGCAGAGGCTCAAAAACTCCCTATTCTACACAGAGGACGAACCAGGTGGGATGAAGGCCATGATGCAGCAGCCCAGCTGGAGGATCAACAGTGGTGCCCGCAGTGCGGCCATGTCACCGCGGGACAACTACGCGTCCTTGAGGCGTGAGAATCGGGACCTAAAGCTGGAGCTGGCGAGGATGCGGATGAGGCTGAACGACCTGGAGAAGGATCACGTGTACATGAAGAGGAATTTGGAGAGGTCGGGGTCGAGGAAGCTGATGAGCTCGTTTTCGAAGAAGTTTATCAACATATTCGGGCATGGGTCGTCGAGGGGGTCCATGTCCCCGTCAAGACAGTCGCAGATGTCGGAGGCCAGGTTCATGGAGAGGACGTGACCAGGCTTTAATTAATTTTCCCTTTCTTTTTTAAGCTAATTTTTATTTTATTTTATTTTTTTTTTGGACGTGGGACCTTTTCTTCCTTTCGCGTGCTGGTATGTATATAATGTGTTTTTGGGATGTGCTTTTACTTGACGGAAAGATATTGAAGACAAAATGATGTGAAGAGTAAAAGCATAGAGTGAAGTGCATGCAGCATCCTCTTTTGACATTCTTGCAACCTCAATTAGTGGATACAGGAGATGCTACCGTCTCGGAATTATTCCGTCGTGGTTTGTAACCGTTAGATCATCATGTAACCGTCGAGAATAATTGATCTAACGGTTACAACCCCCGACGGAATGACTCCGTAATAGGACCGTAGCATTTCTCACTGGATATAATCTTCTTCTTTTCTTTTCTTATTAAGTTTATATATTAATTTCATTAATATGTTTTATCCTTTATTTTCAAAAAATTGATAATTTTTTTGATATTATGTTATTCAACTTTTAACGATTTTCAAATTAACTTTCATATTTCATATAAAAATAAAATAAAAATAGTTCCATCTATCTTTACAAATAAAATTAAAAATTAATTTATCAAATCAAAAATGAAAATTATCAAATATAACTATAATTTTTTTTTTTTTTATGAAATATTACAAATTTCAGTTTATTAATATGCCATAAAAGCCATCCTTGTAGTGTATTTTACTGTAGATTAGGGGAACAAAATATTGAAATGAAGTTTTAACATAAACTAAATATTAAGAAATGTTCTAAGCAATTATGTCTCGATTTAAATAAAGTGATATAGAGAATGTTATAACTTATAAATGATGTTAAAAACAAAAAACATAAATGAATTTCATAACTAAAATAATAAACTATTTTTAATATTCATAAAGTCAGAAAACATTACATTGTATATATTGATTTGTTTTTTAAATCGTCAAATCTTTATAAATATTAGATACTTGAAAAATTAATACACAAGAGAGATCGCTGTATTAATATAAAATACATCTACAATGCAATAAAATTAGATTTATTTTTAATTAAATCAATGTTATGGAGATTTTATAATTTTTGTATTACAATGTAATTTAATAATATATTATTTTTTGCAAACTATCAAAATAAGAGTGACATTTTAAATAATTATCACTCTATTAATCTCTATTATATTATTATACAATATTTTAAAATAAAAATCTTTTATTGTCCAAAATATTTTTTTTCATAATCTTTGTAGTACAATGTAATCATAAAGTATATTAGTATGGCACCTGAATGGAATACTATACTAGGTCGTGTACGACCCAAAAGCGATCTAATTGAACTTGGTGAAATCGAATACTCACTAGGTCAATTGTGACTTTGTAGGTAAGAGAGCTCATCAACTAGTCGGGTTAGGGCTCTCGACTCGCCTGATAGAAACTCGACCTGATAGAAACTCGACCTGGAGACAGGTAAGCCGATGGCGCGACCTAAAGCGACAAAGTCCATTCGTGGAAGTTCAGAGCAACCTGGTTCGTAAGAAGCCGGGTTGGTCGCACAATTAGACCGTCTAATGAGGTAGGCTAATGTGAACACACTACAAAAGAGATACGAAGAAATATTATTAGGATAAGAACCACGTGGCCTAACATAATCGGGCAATTTGAGCACCCACGAATATGTAGCTGGGGTAATATGGGCAGTCTAGTCGGGCAGTCTAAGGCAACAAGGTAACACGAATAAAGTATGATCATATACACTCTATACACTCTTATATACTTACAAGCTATACAATTAATGTCCATCGTCTTCCTCATACACATTCTGACTTGATCATTGGAATCTCTACGTCTAGACCACCCACAGTGCTGTTTTCCAGGTCTATCGAAAAGGTCAAGTGCGGACCCACGTTGCAGGAGCCGATCAACGTCGCTTGCACACCAATATCTACATATATCCATTTCTTGTAATTTATCAGTTGAAAGGAGAAATGTATGTGTAACCATTTCTTTGATTTGCAATCGAGAAGAGAAAACATGTCATTTCAGTCCAAATAAGAGCTTTTGCACTTGAATGAACTCCTATAAACTTGGTGGTTCATGATTGGTAAGGACTTGAAGAAAGAGGCTTCAGGCGGATCCTATTATTATTTTTTTTTCTCGTATTACTTCTCGTCTGTCTTTTCTTGCACAACTTTGAACATTGAACATAAGAAGCAGCAACACAAATATATGGACAATACAAGCACAACCCCAACTCTAGATAAAAACCAAAATAATGAGTACATTAATTTCCATGTTGATTCCAAGTTCCCAAATCCAAATTGAGTTGTATTACAAAAAAGTTGCATGCAGAGAAATGCAAAATAGCCACACAACAGAAAACCAGTTGATGATCACTGAGCATATCAAGCAAACAGCGAATACTAAAACAGAAATTAAGTAGTCATGGGAAAAACAGCAGGCATTGTTACCACCATCAAAACCTTACGAATGCACACACATTTGGAATCCTCAAGTAACTTCATTACTCATCAAATGTTTAAATGCACGAGAAGCCCATCCACAGACTCGGAACACATATGCAAATACTCTAAGCATGTCGCCAGTAAGATCGGGATGTGAGTAACATGTGTACACTAACAAGTAAAAAAACATCAGTTAAACTAACAAACATACCAGAAAAAAGGTAAATAAATTTATGAAGTCGTTCAGCAGCCTAATAGTACATCAATCGGTCCACATTATTCTGAGTTTAAGGAAAAAAAGAGGAAAAGAACGACAAACTTTCAAGTTTCTTGGGCCATATTGGGTTTCTTACGAGCACCAAACGCACTCCCAATACAACTCATAATCTTCCTATGATTCTCGAGAATCATATCCATCTTTTTTTTCTCCATCTCCATCCAACACCTCTCTGTTTCTCTCATCATCTCAATCTTCTTATTCTCCATTTGCATAAACCTCTCTGCAAAACCCCTGATTTCTGCAGCCAGTTCCCTTTCCCCACCACCACCATCTTCCCATTCCTTTGCATTCAAATCACCCTCATCATCATCTTCACTATCGTCATCATCATCATCATAATATTTGCTCTTTCGTTTTCCATTCACAGCGGCCACTCTCCTCCCACTCAAACGAGGGGCAGTATTATTATCAATACTCCATGACTTATTTTTCTTGGCTGTTCCCAAACCATAGCCCTTGTTCCATTCCTCATCACTCTCGTCAGAATCCGCAGAAGGATGAATATTTCTATCAAAATAACCAGAGCGACCTAGATCATAATTAACATAATTATTACCGTTATTGGCGTAATTAGGGGGAGAAGCCTTGTGGATCGCAATTGGACGCGCATTGAGGGGCATGGGCCCGCGCTCCAGTTGATCCATGAGCTCGAAATACGGCCACGAGTTGGGGTAGGGCTTCCGAAGGTCGGAACGATACCGTTTCCTGAGCTTCTCAATCTTGTGGCGGCACTGAGTGGAGGTTCTCGAGGGTTCGTCGAGGCCGCAGCGGGCGGCGACGGCTACCGCGATTTCCTCCCACTGAGAGGATTTGAGCGGGCCTTTCTTGACGGAGTACCATTTATCCTGGTAAGCTTGGATTAGAGCTAGGGTTTCCGGATGGGACCAGGGGAGAGGCGCGGGTTTTTTGGGAGGGGAAGCGGGTTTCGACGCCGTTGCGGCTAGGATCTCGGTGGGAGGCGAGGGTGGTGGTGGCGGAGATGACGACATGGATGCGGCGGTAGTTGGCGGGTGAATGTACTGATATTACGAGCTGCTCTTAACCCAGCGGATGAGAATGGGTATAGCACTTTCACTTATAGTGTTCCAATATATCTCGAGTTCGAGTCATAAAAGGGCCAAGTGAACGTGGTTAAATGACAGTTTTGGGCCGATTTCGATTTGGAACCGCGGGTTCAATGTTGTGGTTTTTAAAGGCCTGAACCGGCTATATCATATATAAGGATTGGTTCAATGAACTG